GCCTGGCTCCTCGGGGCTGGAGTCGTCCCGCCCCAGCCTGCCTTCTCTTCAGCCGCATATTGTCAGAAAGATCTTCCCCGTCTCTACAACGGCGGGAGCAGGCATTTTGTGTAAAAGAAACGAGAGACCACCTCAAACAGCGTCGGAAATTAAACTAAGTGGGGAAAAAAATCACACTGAAAATAGAAAGAGAAAATAGCGGCAGGAAGAGAGCAGAGGCTGCCCGAGGTTGCTGTGGTCAGACGGATCTGCCTCCCTCCTCGACGAGGAGGCTCCAGACTTGCCCTCGGCAGCAACAACCCCTGGAGCATCCCACGGGGACCGCCACTGTTCGGGCTGGGCTGCGACCCCGGGGATGCCGCGAGGGAGGAGGAGGAGGAGGACTTGTCCCACCCTGGCCAGAGGATGTTCCCAGTCCCAGGGCTGAAGCGAGGGGGAGAGGAAGCAGCTGCTGGCCATTGCTCGCCTTTTTTTTTTTTTTTTTCCCCATCTTACGTGAGACTTTTAACAGCAAGGTGGAGCCTGGAGCTGAAGGTGCATGTCTTGCTTTTCTTTCCTTTCGGGGACATTAAGATGTGTGTGCAAACAGGAACGTTTCTGGTCATTTTTCCTGCAAGTTGCCTTAGAAATTTATCCTTCAAGCCTATCTATCCCTATTCAGCAAAACTCAGTCAATGAGTGAGAACTTTACTGATGATTACATGAGGAAAAAAAATCAAATAAACCTGTTCTGCTTAAGAAGCAAAGCACTGTATTAATTAAAGTAACATTTCTCAGACTGTTAGAGATCATAAAGCCATTTTCAAACCTCAGCATTTCCAATCACTATTAGCATCAACCTATAACTGAAAACACGCACTGGAACAATTTCCACGTACCTTTTACAATCGCTGGCACTAGAATTGCAAGCTGGGAGCTACTATAAAAATAGATTGAGCTGCAAAAAAAAGATAAGTCTATCACACAAAATATCACGATTTTCTCCTGAGAATTGTACAGTGCATTGCCCTGGGTATTGGCACACAAGGTGTCTGAAATTTTGCCTGTCCTTTCTTCAGTATAACAATTTTGGCTTCGATTTTCTCCGCACGCTGCTGTAAAAATGGAGAAGTTGCAGAATTGATATGAATTGTTTGACCACGATGCCAAGGTATTTTTATGAGTGGAAGTAGAATCAGACCTGCATGATTTAGTTTTAACGAATAAAGTCTTTTTCTTTAAAGGATTAAGTTAGTTTATGGGTTTAGCACTTTTTGAAAAAGACTTTTTTATTTTTTTACAATGCAAAAATTAGCATTAACTGAATCAAAACACCTCTAGGACCTTGTAGAGGTAAAGGTTTATGGTAACCTTCACCTGGCAGAGCAGTCAGCCCTGCACCGTGCTGGGGAAAGGCATGGCTGACATGGTGAGTCATGAGGATGCTGCAGCTCTTGTGCTGTGTTATATCACCAAAATCAGTAGTCCTGATATACTCATTTTTCCTAGAAAGCACCCCTCCACCTTATGAAATAGGTCATAATTTATATTCAATCATCTTTATCCCTAGGATAATGTTTCCACAAGACATTCTAAATATCCTGATTTTTAAAATCAGGGAAGAGATGAAAAATGTGAGATATCATTTATTTCCTTCCTGGGCAATACTCAGGTTCTTTAGGTATGTGTAGGAAAGGTAGGTCCCGAATCATGTGTATTCTTCATTAATCATTTTAAAGAAAAGCTGAGCAAGATTTTGGGTGATTTCCCCCTTCTTGAGTGCACCTAACAGGTACCCACAGCACCAGGAACTATGGAGACATCAGTCTTACCTACAGCTTCGGGGGAAGACAGTGAGGCTGCTGGTCTCAATGTAGCATTGCACAGGCAACGCCCGTTTTGCTGAGATTCATCTCCCAACGCCGCAGCGGAAACTTTCCTCTCTGCCTCTGTTTTATCAAGGTATCAACTGCTATTGCATGAAGGACCACGAGGCAAGGGAGTATTTAATGCCCTCTTCTTTCTCCAAGCAGGGCCGAGCATCTGATGTAAATGGCAGAGAGCTAAGCAAACCCTGGCCAGGAGCTGGGGTCTGCTGTCACACACAGGCAAGATTGTGCCACAAAAATGAGTGTTGGTTTGCTGCCACCTGAGACGATACACCGCACAGCACCTGTTGGGAGCCTTGCTATCACTGTGCTTTGGTTGAGGCTGGGGGAAGGGGAACAGGAGCTTACACCGCCCCTGTGCTAAGTCTTGCTTCACCTCCCACATACAGGACCACGTCCTGGGATCCCATATGAAAGGTTGGACTGGGATACTGTACTTCTCTCCTCCGTTACAAACTCATACATTTGTCTGAAAATCCCTCCATGTATAAATAATGATGCTTATAAATCAATTCAGTGATTTAACCTAGGGTGAGAAAGTCTTTTCGGTTCAACACTGAAGCCTGCTACCTCCCACACTCTGGCTGCTGCTGCTGTCATGACCGTGGCTGAAGAGAGATATTGCAGGCTGAGAGGTGAAACACTGCTCAGAAAGGCTTCGGTGCTTTGAAGTGCAACCAGCGATGTGGTGCCAGCCCTGCAACAGCCACCAAAGCAGGGTCTGTAGGGCTGGGCAATGACCTTACAATCTGGCCACCGCATGAGGCAGAGTTGGCTGGGAGTTAAGCATTGTTTTTCAAGGCTTACCTTGAGAATAGAAAGAAATGTCATTGGGCTCTCTTCAGTCTTGATAGCTTATAGGGTTGTTCTTATGAGAGGTTTTCACGTAAGTGTAGGCAACCCATACACACACATGTGCACACACAGGGCTTTTAATAAAGTGTGGCTCAGAAAGGCAGTTGCCTCCCTGCTTTCTTTTACCCCAGACAGGGATAAGAATGGCCAGAACTTCAAGGATATTTTAATAGCAGTCAGAAACATGCCTGTTTTAGTATCTAGGGAGGACAGTGGAAACACTGCAGTGCCAATGTTAGTAGTGAACACTGCCTACTTTCATTTATCCGCTGCTTTCATTTATCACTTATCCTCATTGTTTCTGTCCTACTGGCTTTCAGCATCCTTTACAACACCTTTCCATGCACCTTGCCAGCACTGATGTGCCCCAGCAGTGCTTTATCTGCACAGAGAATGATGGAGCAAAAGTACATGGGGGAAAGGCTTCTCCTAGACTCTGCCTTTCTCTATCTTCTCCCATACCACCACTTGCTGTCCTGGTATGCAGCTCCTCTGTTCACCAGTGCTTCTGGGATTGCAGCATATGCAAGGACAAATAAAACACAGAGGAAATGAGCCGAGTCCATGTCTCTCCCCAGCATGCCTTGGTGTTGTGTCAGACCTGGTCAGCCTTGTTCATGGAGCAAGAAACTCAAACACGTGGTTCCTCTACCAGTAGGCCTCATGCACATGTTGCTTCATATCAGGGCTTGTTCCAGGAACCATTTGCTTCCAGTAGCAGCACCACTGGAAGGAGGAGAGGCTGCTGTTGTGCTGCCTCTGACCAAGGTGCATTTAGGTGGGATCCCATGTTCACAGAAGCCCTGATGCTTGGCTCCATCCACCAGCATCTACTGGACACAAAAGGCTGGTGACTTGGCAAACAAGCATATTCTTCATGGAAGACTCAAAAATACACTGAGAGGGAAGAAACTTGAGATATGAGGGTGAGTTGGACCAACAGGCCAAGATCAAAAGAATCTCAAGCAAGTAGGAAACATCCCACTTTGAAAGCATTGGCAAAGAGTGGGTTTCTGGGCTCTGATTTGTGACAGAGCTGGTCTAGGCATGATAAGCTGGTGCCAGTGACAGCCTTATGGCCTCCTATGTCCCTTGCCTCAGACCCAGGGGGAGAAAAGCATCTGCTCAGAGAAGCCTTAGCACAGTGTGC